GTGTGTGTGTGTGTGTGTGTGTGTGTGTGTGTGTGTGTGTGTGTGTGTGTGTGTGTGTGTGTGTGTGTGTGTGTGTGTGTGTTATGCATGTGCTCTTGCTTGGGTTCTTATACCAGGCGTTTTTGCTTCAACCAGAATTGTCAATATTTAGTTCTGCATTAATTGAATAATTAAATTGCCCCTATGATTTTCCTTTTCTATCCATCTTGTTTCTTATTGTATATTACATTTAGTGTGTCACGTCGACAGTATAGCAGTAATCTCATAACAATGTAACATCCTTATCATTTAGAAAGTATACCTAAATCTACTAAATCGTTTGCTCAATCTTTCGATATGTTATTACGTTTTTTTGTTCACCGCAAATTAACTCTCATATCAAGAACAGCTCACATATGTTCTTCTGATTGTCAACCTTATCCACACACTCAAGTGACAGTTATTAACCTTATCTAACCTATTCTTTTATATGGTTTTAAAACAGACATATTGATATTATATTTGAAATTGGTTATTGAATATCCATAATATTTCACTTTAATTATTGTTTTAACATTGTTAATGAAATGTTTGCATCAACTAAACCATCACCTTGGACAATAGCACTACAACGCAAGCACAACATATTTGTAAAATACCAGTTAACAACAAATTAAGTGCTGAAAGAGCAACAGGGAAACATCCATATAAATCAATGTTCTGAAGCAGGCTGCCAGTAATGTGCTCTTTATAGGAAACATTCAATTCTCTGCGCCGATTACGGTGTGTCTTGAAGGACACACATCAGACTCACACATCCCTAAATTATGATCACCACAACATGTTTCTAATATTATAACCACAACGTCTTTCTAACATTATAACCACAACATGTTTCTAACATTATAACCACAACGTGTTTATAACATTATAACCACAACGTGTTTCTAACATTATAACCACAACATGTTTATAACCACAACATGTTTATAACACTATAACCACAACGTGTTTATAACACTATAACCACAACGTGTTTATAACATTATAACCACAACATGTTTCTAACATTATAACCACAACATGTTTATAACACTATAACCCAACGTGTTTATAACACTATAACCACAACGTGTTTAACACTATAACCCCAACGTGTTTATAACATTATACATTATAACCACAACATGTTTATAACATTATAATCACAACGTGTTTAAAACATTATAACCACAACGTGTTTATAACATTATAACCACAACGTGTTTATAACTCTATAACGACAACCTGTTTATAACATTATAACCACAACGTGTTTATAACACTATAACCACAACGTGTTTATAACACTATAACCACAACGTGTTTCTAACATTATAACCACAACATGTTTCTAACATTATAACCACATCGTGTTTATAACATTATACATTATAACCACAATGTGTTTATAACATTATAACCACAACGTGTTTAAAACATTATACATTATAACCACAACGTGTTTATAACATTATAACCACAACGTGTTTATAACTCTATAACGACAACCTGTTAATAACACTATAACCACAACGTGTTTATAACTCTATAACGACAACCTGTTTCTAACACTATAACCACAACGTGTTTATAACATTATAACCACATCGTGTTTATAACATTATACATTATAACCACAACGTGTTTATAACATTATAACCACAACGTGTTTATAACTCTATAACGACCACCTGTTAATAACACTATAACCACAACGTGTTTATAACTCTATAACGACAACCTGTTTCTAACACTATAACCACAACGTGTTTATAACATTATAACCACAACGTGTTTATAACACTATAACCACAACGTGTTTATAACATTATAACCACAACCTGTTTCTAACACTATAACCACAACGTGTTTATAACATTATACATTATAACCACAATGTGTTTATAACTCTATAACGACAACCTGTTTCTAACACTATAACCACAACCTGTTTCTAACACTATAACCACAACGTGTTTATAACACTATAACCACAACCTGTTTCTAACACTATAACCACAACGTGTTTATAACATTATAACCACAACAGGTTGTGAAATGTTATGTCCAGTCCACTTTTTCATCCTACGGTATTGTCATGTACTGATTACAAATACAGATATCCTACACTGCTAATCAACACAGTGTGGATGGATTTGCTGCCAATGAGTGGCTTCTATATTTTCTATACATTTTAGTTTCAGGAAAAGCCATTTTAGAGCTACCAAGCCTCTTAGTTGAATTATAGGTTTGTCCTGGTATGGCAAGGGTCACAGAAGCTAATGGTTTTTGTCAGGGCTTGTCCAGGAATGGAGTTCAGACTTGACATTCCATTCACTTCTATCACCCAAATAACAATACACTTTATTTTCTATGGCGCCTTTAAAAGTAGCATCTCAAAGCGCTTTACAACATAAAAGCAGCAGATGCGGACGAGAACAAAACATGCAGTAATGTTTTTAGACCTCAATAGATAATCCCTGGTCTGTCAAATTTGACCTCAACTGTGTGGACTCTACGTTTGGTTGCAGTGATGGCACTAATGTAAATAGTTTCAGCGCTGCATTATATTTTGTCTGCTGAAAGGGAAAACCTTATTCCTTTTGAAGTATAACTGTTTACTTACTCTTAAATAAAATACACAGAAAAACGTCCATGTTTAAAAAGTGTGAATTGTACCAAAACTATTTCCCGTAAAATTGACCAACCTAAAACTCTCAAACTATGAATTTAAAGCCATTTTTTCCCCACGAATTCTATTAGGATTGTCTTTGAAAAGCCACTTAAAATATAAATATGAAAAATAAAATGGGCTGAAAGAAGGAAAACATCAAGCAGTTAGTACGGAGGTACATACATACTGATAAATCAGAATTCCATGTCCATATAGGCCCCTCAGCAGGCATCACACACTTGAACTGCTTTTTCATTTATGGAAACTGTCTTCTATCTTCCTGGAAAATAACAAATATATGTGACAAACCAGAGTTATTAAAGCCCTTCTAACATATTTAATCATGATACCACAATGGTCTAGAACAGGGGTGGGCAAACTAGGGCCCACAGACGAATCTGGCCTCAAGGATATTCCATCTGGCCCGCGGTCGGTATTAAAATATTTGTGAGAGGAAGTACATAATAACTTGCCAGTCCAATTATAATGTATCTGAATCTGCCTTAAAATTATTAAGACATAATAGTAGACCTACAGTATAAATGGTATGCGTAAACATTTTAGTTATCGCCCTTGTCTGGCCCACAAATCATGTGCCCTTAACAAAACAAATGTGGCCCTTCAAAGTCCTGATGTTGCCCCTGAGCTGAAAAGTCTCCCGGTTTAGAAGATAATTTTCTGTTTACCACATATTTGTATTTTTCAGCTTAATACACACAGAAATGCTGTGAAGATATTATTTAATTGTTATACGCTTTCTTTTAAGCACTACAAATGTAATATACATTAAACGTGTTCATTTGACGTTGATTTGTACTCAAGTTCTTGATAATTAGCATAATCGGATTCATTCAAAAGATGTTTGTCTGCATGTAGATATGCGAGTAAGGGGAGATGATGTAGCCATGGTGGGCTGTGTCGTTTAGTCTGCCACTAAGTAAAAATAAAATCTACCAAACTATTTGATTTGCTTTTGTTTTAAGCTATGCCCAGGGAAATCTTTTTGATTTCCACAACACGGGTGGACTATTTCTCTGCTTTTTTGTAAATTTGTTTTGGACAAAGTCCAGGAGACAACCGGACTACTTGGCATTACTTTTTGTGAGCTATGTTGGAAGAGATGAGAGTTGGGGTCTGGGCAGGCTGTCTGTGCCGACTTTGGTCTAAACACACGAGGAAATGTCTGCTAACTAGTAGTACTGCCTTAGAGTTGTCAGCATTCACTGACACATGAAGTGGATGGAAATAATGGTCTAAACACACGAGGAAATGTCTGCTAACTAGTAGTACTGCCTTAGAGTTGGCAGCACACACTGACACATGAAGTGGATGGAAATATTGGCTGCGGACATGATGCTGTCCATGGAGCAGACTGCATGTAAACAGAATCAGATTGTGTCTTTGGTGGAGTTGGTATCTCAGTGGTAGAGTGCATGCTCTGTGTGTATGATGTCCTGGGTTCCTATTGGAGGAGTTGGTATCCCAGTGGTAGAGTGCATGCTCTGTGTGTATGATGTCCTGGGTTCCTATTGGTGGAGCTGGTAGCTCAGTGGTAGAGTGCATGCTCTGTATGTATGATGTCCTGGGTTCCTATTGGAGGAGTTGGTATCTCAGTGGTAGAGTGCATGCTCTGTATGTATGATGTCCTGGGTTCCTATTGGAGGAGTTGGTATCTCAGTGGTAGAGTGCATGCTCTGTTTGTATGATGTCCTGGGTTCCTATTGGAGGAGTTGGTATCTCAGTGGTAGAGTACATGCTCTGTATGTATGATGTCCTGGGTTCCTATTGGAGGAGTTGGTATCTCAGTGGTAGAGTGCATGCTCTGTGTGTATGATGTCCTGGGTTCCTATTGGTGGAGCTGGTAGCTCAGTGGTAGAGTGCATGCTCTGTATGTATGATGTCCTGGGTTCCTATTGGAGGAGTTGGTATCTCAGTGGTAGAGTACATGCTCTGTATGTATGATGTCCTGGGTTCCTATTGGAGGAGTTGGTATCTCAGTGGTAGAGTGCATGCTCTGTATGTATGATGTCCTCAGTGGTTCCTATTGGAGGAGTTGGTATCTCAGTGGTAGAGTGCATGCTCTGTTTGTATGATGTCCTGGGTTCCTATTGGAGGAGTTGGTATCTCAGTGGTAGAGTACATGCTCTGTATGTATGATGTCCTGGGTTCCTATTGGAGGAGTTGGTATCTCAGTGGTAGAGTGCATGCTCTGTGTGTATGATGTCCTGGGTTCCTATTGGAGGAGTTGGTATCTCAGTGGTAGAGTGCATGCTCTGTTTGTATGATGTCCTGGGTTCCTATTGGAGGAGTTGGTATCTCAGTGGTAGAGTACATGCTTTGGGTGTGTGATGACGTCCTGGGTTCAATCCCCAGGTCGCCGTTGCAAATGAGAATTTTATTCTCAATCGGCCTACCTGGTTAAATAAAGGTACAATGAAAAAACAGAGACATTATAACAGGCTGTTACATCACATGCAGACGCCTCCTAACCAGCACAAAACACTTACAGCAGGCAAACCTGCTCATTAACAGACTTTCTGAGAAGTAACTGATTTCAATTGTTTAACACCTATAGATCTATACAGTGATATTCCACCAGCGATAAGATAAGCAATCCAGTGACTATTACCACCTCACGAGGACAGGTCTGAAAGCAAAACAGTACCAGTGATGCCCCATAACGTTCAGTCAAGCAGCGACACGACTAGTAAACCACTCTGTTGTGCGCTTCTTGTCCTCCCTGCAGTTGTGTATATATGCGGGCCTCTGGACACGTTTCTGAGTATCATGAAGCTGTTTCAGAGTGACATTCCAGATCCTGAGAACTACGCCATCTTTTATCTGGACGTGTTCGCCGAAAGCCTGACAGACCACAAACCCTGGAGGAACAACGACAGCCTCTGGATTGACCCGATCAAAGTGTTCAAGGTACACAGCGCCGACCGTCACACACAGACACAGATACACGAACAGACATTAGTCCCTTTCATTAATTCTGAATTATTTCGTTTCATTAATTGCAGTGATATTTTGAAGGAATATGTCTAAATATTCAGAGTCAATTAGGTTAGTGGTGAACTGTCACTTTTTTCCCCTCAGCAGTAATTGAAACCAGACTGGGTTATGCTTTTTGTCGTGTAAAATGAATGCCTCATTCTGAGGAAATTCAATTTAAAGCTTTTGCCTTCTGTGTGTGTGTGACCAGATTTATAATTGCACATCTCTCTGTTCCTACTGAAACTGTGTCAGAGGGAACACGAAGTTCACCAGGTTGAATGAGGTGAACTGTGTGTGTAGTCTGTCTGCGTGACTGATATATATCAGATGTTAAACAGTGAACAGATTACAGATGATATGCGGCTCAGAACACAATAGATGTTTGTCCAGACTTAATTTGTCACAAGTCATTGACAAACATCTCTGAGACAATTTTGGTTCACTGATCCATAACGTAATGAGGCAGCTACGCTAAGCAAGCTAATCCCATCCAGCCGACTACAGTAGCTACACCAACGTTAACACAAAACCGACCCCAAAGCTTCAAAGAGCCTCAAAGAGCTAACATGCATATAGCTACTTTTTTAATTCCACATAAAGAGCTGTGTGATAATCAGATGAACAGGTTTCTAAGCACACATCTTGTTGGTTATGAATCGTCAAACAACTCTACAGGATGGGCAGCATTTCTTCTGTGTCTCCCCTGATTTCTGACTTTAATTATTGAACGAGGTTATTAAAAGAGAGTTGTCAGCTGAAAGCCACTTAGTCCTGCATATTAATGTGCAAAGAAATAAGTGAGCAACACATGCTTGTCTTTGGGTCCTGTCATTAAATGTTGCAGATTGCAACTGTATTTGCTCTCAGCTGCACTTAGCATTGTGTATTTCAAATCTGCCGTTGAATTTCAAATGAAAGATATTAAACATTTATTTGAATTGGTAAAGTCACAGTAGGTATAACCTCGGGATTTTCTTATTTTCTCTGAAAAGAGATGAGTTCAAATAAGAAATATACTAAAATGAATAGGAAATATAGTATATTATTAATATAGTTAGAAAGAATGATCTTTCACTGAAATAATCACTATGTCTTACCAACTTTGCTTTTGTCAAAGAATCCTCCATTTGCAGCAATTACAGCCTTGTAGACGTTGGACATCCTAGTTGTCTATTTGTTGAGGTAATCTGAGGAGATTTCACACCACGTCTCCTGAAGCTCCTCCCACAAGTTTGATTGGCTTGATGGACACTTCTTAAGTACCATAAGTACGGTACGGTCAAGCCACTCTCACAACGGCACTTTAGGGTTGAGCTCTGCCATTCCATTATAGCTTGGGGCTGTGCTTTGGGTCATTGTCCTGTTGTAGGAGGATATTGGCTCCAGTCAAATGTCCACATGGTATGGCATGGCTTTGCAAAATGGAACAATAAGCTGCATTCTTGGGGATACCTGGTTCCTGTACAAATCTCCCACTTTATCACCACTAAAGCACCCTAACCCATTCCATTGCCTCCACCATGCTTGACAGATGGCGTACAGCACTCCACCCGCATCTTTTCATTTTGTCTGTGTCTCAGAAATGTTCTTCTCTGTTATTCGAACACTTCAAACTCAGGTGTTAATATATATTTTTTTTCCCCAATCCATATATTGTCTGTGTTCTTTCGCCCATCTCAATCTTTTTTTATGGCCAGTCTGAGATATAGCTTTTTCTTTGCGACTCTGCCAAGCATCCCTGAGTCGTCTCTTCACTGTTGATGTTCAGACTGGTGTTTAGTGGGAACTATTTGATTAAGGCAGCAGCTGAGCACTTGTGAGGCGTCTGTTATCTCAAACTAGACACTTTAATGAATTTGCCCCCATGCTCAGTTGTTCCCCCGGGGCCTCACACTTCACTTATTCTGACTAGAGCCAGTTGGCTGTTCTGTAAAGTGAGTTGTACACAGTGTTGTACACAATTTCCTTCTTGGAATAGCTGTCATTTCTCGAACAGGAATAGAGTTTCAGAACAAAGTTATTTGTTTCTAGCTATACTAGTCTAAAGAAGGACAGTTGTATTACTTCTTTAATCAGCCAACAGTTTCCAGCTATGCTAATGTAATGGGATTTTTTTTTCTAATAATCAATTAGCCTTCTAAAATGATCAACTTGGATAAGTTAACCTAGTGGTGGGCGATATGGGAAAAATATCATATCACGATTTTTTCAGGAAAAATCACGATTCACGATTTTATCACGATTCTTTTTCATGTTGCTTTTTAAGACTATTTTGCTAATTACTGAGCTGCAATACAAGCAAACTATATCTCCATTTAAAGAAGATAGCGTTACAAGGTAACAAAACATAAAAGGGAAAAAAAATTAAAGTAGCATATTTTAATCACGTGTATATTTAAAGGAAGTGCAATGGTGCAAAGAAGCACCTTCATTCTCATCCGCAGCTTCACCATCCATTCACTGTGTAACCTGCCATCCATCTACAGCATCAGATGATCTACTGTGTTATCATCCTGAATTAAATGAATTGTGAATTATGCAGTAAAACATTTTACTAAAATAGTATGTAGCCTATTTATTGTCTTATGTAGCCATACAATACAAAATTAAAACCATGATTTTAAAATGCACAGGCTATGATATTTAAATTTCTAAAGATCGAATAAATTAAAATCAATCAAACTGTATGTCCTATTTTGATGTAATAAATGCTAAAACATTTTAGATCACAAGCGACGCGCAATCAAATGATTTGCGCATGATTGGCCGTATATATTGCAACACAGACTGTTGAAATAAAAACATTAGGCTACAGTGTATAATTTGATCATTTACATTTGTAAAATGTATTATAGTAATTACAGCCCAGTAACTAAGGCACTATAGACAATGAAACACGTATTTTACAACACAGTTTGTATATTGGTCACGGTCGGGTATATTCTGCTGTTACCCGGTAGATACATTAATCAATTTCGTTTTATATTTTCGTTCTGTTTATTTAGTAAAACATATATTTCTTTATAAACGTAGGCCTACCTCTTTTTTCTAGTTCATTCAAATTCAACCAAGCCAATCAATCAATTATCTATGTATATCTCGCAGCTTTTGTCTGCCTGAGCAGGACACGCATACTAACCGGTTGCACTGCGCAGAGTGTTCATTAGTGATGTTATGAGTGCACATGAGACCGCAGCAAATTAATCGGTTACATATATCCAGTTTCATATAGATCGGACCAAAACGCGTCAAGTTTCATGTAGACCAGACCAAAACGCATCAAGTTTCATGTAGACCAGACCAAAACGCATCCAGTTTTATAAAGACCAGACCAAAACGGATCCAGTTTCATATAGACCAGACCAAAACGGTGTCCAATATAGATCGGACCAAAACGAGATCAGACCAAAACGCATCCAGTTTCTGAAAACGGGACAAGGTAAAATGCACGTATTTAGGAAAAGTCATGGAAGAACGAGGCTGTAGCTTTTCAACATTATATATTTATTTTAATTACTAACTGCAACGCCCGCGGGCATGGGCTGTTGGCGCTTCTAGTGTTAACACGCTGACATCTAGCGCACGGCGCATTGCATGTTGATACGTAGCTGAAAAAACGCCATAGATCTGCATCTAATTGAACGTGCACTGGAGCGCGATTCTACGATATTTCCGAAAAAGTGAATCGTGGAGACATTTTAATCGTCCACGATTAAATATCGTCATATCGCACACCCCTAAGTTAACCCAATGTGCCGTTGGAACACAGTACTATTAGGTACTGATGGGTAATTATTAACAATGTTTACATTGTATTTCTGTTCACTTCGATGTTATTTTAATGGACAAAATTGTCTTTCCTTTAAAAGCAAGGACATTTCTAAGTGAGCCCAGACGTTTGACTGGTAATGTGTATGCATTGAGTGTAGCATTGGCCATTTGATTGGTGCAACAACAACACACACATTGAACTTAAGTTACAGTTTGTGTTAAAGGAATGACCGGCATCACATGGGAATGAGGGTGGGATGTCAGACGATCGTTGATGTCAATTATTGACACATATCGGCACATGTTTCCATCTTGTTTGTGAAACGCACAAACAGCTAAATACATCCTAAAATGATCTTCAGTAATATTTGGCTAAGAGTCGGTTGTGTATCTTTGATAGATGTCTTCCTGAGGCATGTCATGTTTTCTGATTTAAAAGCTCCTAAAGAACTCTAGCTAAGTAAAAAAAAAAACATTGGAAGTAATGGGTGCGAGTCAAAATGTAGCCAAGAACAATTACATGCATTAAACAGCAATTGGATACAAAAATGTATGTATTTTTCACAACAATTAACGTTGTTGCCGATAATGGTTTTTTTTAAATAAACACTG